GGACAGGCTGAGGTTTATCTGATGGAGACACAGATGGTGAAAAATAATGGTCAGATCCAGCCTATATACTAACAAATAATTTTATTTTCTCAGAAATCTTAAATATTTCATAAAGTTTTCCACAGATTATTCCTGAATAAACAGAATTAGCATTTTCTATCACAGTATTTGAAAGTATATAATATATTCTAACAGAATATTTACACTCATGTGTGACGTTTTCTCATTCTGGAAAAATATGGAAAAATCCTGAACTGATTTTTTTATAGATTAGAATAATATAAATGAAATAGTTAATTTTAGGCCTTTATAGAAGACAGTCTGACTCACCTCTAACTGTCTGAAGTCTGAAGTAATCACTCCAGGCTGTTATCTGGTAGTCTCCTCTAGCCCTACACCAGTATGTATCACTAAACTCAGTAGCTGTGTTGATCCTGTATTCACTGGATGTTGGAGAGTTTCTGCTGGTTGAACTCCATTCATACGTCCACTGAGTTCCTCCATCTCCATGGATCTCACATCTCAGAGTGACTTTCTCTCCTCTGAATATCTGGGACCAGTTGGATTGAAGGATCACAGTAGGCTTAGACACTGAAACTAATAATATAGAATTAGAAATCAGATAGAAATGTATATAAATAAAAAATACAGTAAACGTGATTGATATGGATTAAAAATAATACTCCCTCATTAAGGAGTGATAGAAATAAAAAATCTTATCTATTTCATTTTTCTTTCTAATAAAACTAGAACATTTATCCAAATCCCAGAAGCCAACAGATGTTTCATAGCTTAACAACATTAGGAATTAGAGAGACAGATATAAAGCAGCAAGAAATCACATTGAATACTGAGATAATCATTTCTACCAGCCTGTCAACATATAAACTAACAATATGAATTAAATCACTTTAATATCTGACCCCATAAATTTTAGGAAGTTTTCTAGATCATGAGTCACAGATTACTTGGACCAGTTATTATGTCTGAGGTTAGAACTTTTCTCTACCTTCAGACCTAGAAATATCTGTTTTTACTAAAGCTGCCTGAATTTGGTTTGAATTTGTTTGAGTGTAAACAACGTTTTTTTAAGGTTTTGCTGGAAATCTGTACTCAAAGACTAATAGAGAGAGACTTCAAAAGAGGGCAGACTACAATAAACATTTAACAAAAAATAATATTCTCATCAAACAGACAAACTGTATCTGAAATGCTTCTAGTTGTCAGAAAAAAATCTATTCCACTGTGATAAAGATTCAAAGAGGCATTTACTTTTTGTTTTTAAAATTATTCAGCTTTTCCCCGAGAATTCTGTAATTCTC